AAAGGATGGGAGATGCACAATCAACCAGCCATAAATAGTTGAACACACAACCAAACACCAGCTCAACCAATATTATGGATCATTGCATGAATGGATATCCCTTTAAAGTTGCTTTGATACTCGACAACAGTAAATCTACATCAACCCTGACAACAACAATAGTCCCTTGTGACAGCCATTCAAGGAACATGCTTTTAATACCATTCACTCAATAATGGATATAAATGCAATCCAAAAAGCAACTTGTTGAATGACAATCATTTACAACTTGCTCAACCAAACTACTATGATGAAGTTACTGATTGCTGTATTGTCATCAACGCTGATTGCTTGTTCGGTCACTACAGCTACTCCAGTTAATCCCAGTAGGACTAGAAACCTCGAGTCTAGTTCCACAGCTATTTACACTGCAACTGCAACTACTTATCCCAGCACTTCGACATTTGTTGATTTAGATGTAGACTCGGTTGATTGTGGTAGATATTCAAGGGAAACAAAAGAGGCGATCAAAGGATATGCAGAAGCGAAATATAATGTTGAGCTAATGCGTGAAAAGTGCGAGTCGATAGCAGCAAAAATTATTACTCAAACAACAGTGGTAGAAAATCTGAATGAAAGGGTCAGGTTAATGTTGTCTTTAACTACATTAAGAGATAATGGTCCAGACTATATGGAAACTCTGTCACTCTTTCGAGGCGGGAATGATGTTCTTGCAAAACTTCAACACCAGCGGAGAATATGCAATGACCAATATCCTGTTCTGAGCAAGAAACTGCGTTTAGCTGAAAAAAACCTTGCAAGAGAGTTTTTTGGCACTTTTAACTTCAGTCTTGGACGGGTTAGTAATGAGCGCATGATGGACCTTTTATCAAATCGGGACTTTCTGTATTGTCTTGGTCAATTTCACATTGAGATACCGAGTTCACCAATAGACTCTGAGCGTGCCTCTACTAGTGGAACGCAAGGTTCACCACAACCTCAAGGTCCACCACCATCGTATGAAGTTGTAATGAGGAATCCTAAACTCTATAAAGTAACTCAAGAGGGCCCGGATGATCAACTTCCATCGTATCAAGAAGTAATGAACGACCCTCAAAAGTTCCCCAAGGTCTTGGAAGATCCTGATGTTACCGAATCGTCATCGATGAGTCCATCTATAGTTCATCCTACTCAAACATCATCCAGTGTTCCACCCAGTCAACATACAGCCTCATCCACTCTACGAAGAGTTGCATCCACTCTACAGAGAGCTTCATCCACTCTACAGAGAGCTGCATCTAGTGTGCGAAAAGTTTCATCCAGTCTTACATGGAAAGTCGATCGTTCTTGAGTCGGTCTTGAAATGAAGATCGCGAGTTATTGATTCGAGTGCTAATCCGAACTGGTTCTAATCTAATCGACTGTCATTCTACAACCGCATTACTGATTCAACTTGTAATAAATACATTACACTACATTACATTACAGTGCATTGAATACACATGTGTTGGGTTTGATCATTCCAGTCTTGATCAACATGCTTGCTGATATCATTGTACTTTGACACTTGTATTTTAAATACAGTTGGTTATATATTGCATGCCTGTACAAATCGATGATCATGACATGCATGTGTTTTGTTGATATAATATCAGTTGACAAGTTGTATTTACACATCATGTATCAAGTAGAATACCGAGATTAACAAAATAGTTGTGTGTTGATATCAGATCCGATCAACTCGACCAGTTTGACTCGTTCAAAAATGACGAGTCATTGGTATACTCGCTGTAGTATACCAT